CCAGGGGGATTGTTAGTTTGAATTTTCCTTGGAGAAGATGATCCCCTGCTCCAAAAGAAACCCCTTCCCTTGCAGGGCTGGAGCTCAGCAGACTTTGCTGTGCCCTCCATCCTTCCCAGCCTGCTCCCCGCTCCCTCCCAKCCCCTGGATCCGGGCTCGGAGCCGCGGGCTGGCTGGAGATCTGCGGTGGGCACGTTGGTGGTCTGCCCTGAGCCAAGACCTTGCGTGGATCTGGCTTCACCTCGTGCTTTCCAGCTGGGGAACATCGTTACTCGGAGCTGGAAACTCATGGCACCGTTCCTGCTGTGCCTTTTCCACTGGGCTGGGGCTGGAGCAGGAAGAGATGGGATGGAGGGTGCCAGGGATGAGCCCGGGAGGGGGGCAGAGGATTTGGGATGGCGGGAGGGGCGGAGGGGAAGGGGAATGTGGGAAGGCAGTTAAGAAATGGGCGTGGAGGGGGAGGGAGAGGGTCCCCTGGGTCTGTCAAGGGCCAGTCGAGCGCAGGGAATGGGAAATTGGGACATCCCGTGGGAACACAGCTGGGTCCTTTCTTAAGGAAAAAGTGACATCAGGCTGGGAGTGTCCTGTCCCCATCCCAAAAGGACGCTGCAGGTGGGAGGGGGATGCARTGTCTTGGGGAGCATCCCTGCCCAAGGGATACAGGATTTGGGGGAGCATCCTCTCCTAGGGATGCAGCACCTTGGCAGTATCCTCTCCCCAGGGATGAAGAGTTTTGGGGAACATCCTTCTTTGATGGATGCAGAATCTTGTGGAGCGTCCTCTTGCCAGGGATGCAGAGTTTTGGGAGCATCCCTTCCCCAGGGATGCAGAATTTTGGGGATTCAGAGATGCAGAATTTTAGGGAGCATCCTTCTTTGATGGATGCAGAATTTTGGGGAGCATACGTACCCCAGGGATGCAGAATTTTGGGGAGTATTTTCACCCCAGGGATGCAGAATATTGGGGAATGTCACTATGCCAGGGATTCTTGGTGAGCATCCTCTTTCCAGGGCTGTCACACTCTGGAGAGCATCTCCACTCCAGGGATGCAGATTTTTGGAAAGCACCCTGGCCCCGAGCCCCCCAAGAGCCCCTCAGCCCCCGCCGCAGCCGCGCTGGCCCCACCGCAGCCATCCCGAATTCCTGCCCTCCGGAGCAGCCTGGCACAAAGGCTCATTGTGGGAGCGGCTTTCAAGCGGGGCCAGGGATCGGCCGCGCTCCCGGGAGCGGGGAAAGGCCGCTGGAACAGACGGAAAGTTGCCTTTGGACGAGGTTCAGAGGCCGGGGCTCGGCGGGAGGGAGCCGGGGGAGGAAAGCAAACAGCGGAAAGCGCTGACTCCGAAAGGCATCCCGGGCACCCCACGGCCAGCCCGGGAGGGGGAATGGGCACCTGAAGTGTCCCAATGCCTCCCAGCAGCCCTAAATCTCCGATTTTTCTGGTGTGAGGAGCTGGCTGTGCCCGGGAGCCGTCACAGGATGTGTGGAAGGGCGTGCACATCCCACATGGAATCACAGGATGGTTTGACTTGGAAGGGAYCTTWGAGATCACCCAGAAAACATCACCCAGGAAGGAGCCGAGCTCATCAGCTGCTGCTCAGCACCCATCYTCCTCCTCCTCCCACCTCTCCCTCTCCATCCCTCTGCTGCCTTCCCTTAAATTCACCCTTGTCCTCTTTCACCACCTCCTTCCACCTCCCTGGGGTCTCAGGGATTTCCAGAGATCCCTTCCCGCCGTTCAACCTTCAGAAATTCCAGTTCCTGTTCCCATCTCAATTTCCCTCAAACACAGGTTTCAGTGTCTCATTTCAAGACACCAACCTGAAAATGTCCCTTTTCCTCTCTCGTTTCTGTTTAGAGCAGCAACTCACGGTGTTTTCAGCTGGTTTTAAGCTCACAAAACCCCCTCCATCCCCACAGGTATCCCTCAGAATACACTGCCTCCTGCTCCACTGGATGTGTCCAGCCCTGGATAATCACACCCTGGAGTCTGGGAAAACCCTTCTGTCCACCCTGGCTCTGTTCAATCCCATCCCTGAGCAGCCACACAACAGCACTCAGGGCCAACACACCGGGAAAATCCTCCTGCAGGTGTAATTCCCAACACAGGCAGGATTTTCCTGCTGGAGAGCTCCCAGCAAGCCCCTTTCCTCTCAGCTCAATTCTATCGAGGAGCTCGTTTATCCCATGATTTCAGAAAATGGTTGGGCTCCAGGATCTTGGAGCAGCCTGAATTCCAACCTGAAAAMTTGTATTCCAGGATTCCAAATTCCTGGGGAATTTTAATGAACAGCTTGGTTGGAGGATGCTGTGAAGGGGATGGATTTGGGGTGCAGGGTTGTGGCCGTGATGGTTTTTCCATGGGAAAAACACCAGTTTCATCCCCAAATTCCACTTCCCCATCCCAAAYCTTACTGCAGCCAGTGGTGGCACGGAGAACCTCGGGACAAGGTGGTGTGGGGACAGGGTGGGGACATCTGGTCTGTGTGTCCCCCAGTGCCTCCTCTGGGAGAGCAGGGTGGTCGATGGGGTAAATAATTACCTCGGGGCCGTTAATAGGGGTTAATAATTACCAAGGGGCCGTTAATTTGGGGTCATTTCCCCATGCGAGAGGGCTGCTCCAGGCCGTGGGTGGTTTTGGTGGAGTATTCCCAAGATGCAATCCTTGGGGAATGCGGGATTGGGGCTGCAGGGACCCGCAGGGCAGACAAACCCTCTCTGAAAGCTGGGGCACCTTCACTGCTTTGGGGTTTGGCTGCTCCCCCCAGCTGGGAAAGGAGCCGAAAGGAGCTGAAAGGAGTCAAAAGGAGCCCCTGGATGTTTATTTTGCCGGGGTAGCCGAGCACGAGCACTGGCGGCTCCCGCTGCGATGAAAAAGCCACGGCAGATCAAGGGCGAGGGGAAAGGAGAGCTCCCGCTTGGAGCTCCACGGCTGCGGGAAAGGATGGAGCGGGCTGGGCGCTGTCCCCAGGGCTGTCCCCGCTTTGGGGTCCCCCAAGCTCTCTCCCCATCGAGCTCAAGGATCAGTTGAGCCTCGAGAGTGCGGCGATGTCCCGGGAACCACGCTCCGGCTGCCTGATGTCCGCCAGGATTCCCCACCCGTCATTATCCCGGGATATTGTTCCCTGCCCGGCCACAATAAATGCCATAAATGTTGAGAATTCCTTATCCCGGATCCACCGTTGCGGTCCCCATGACCTGGCCACTCCTCCTGGTGTCTGGCAGATCCAGTGACAGTCCCGAGCATGGATCTGCTGCACCTCGTGCTGACTCAGTCCATCCAGYGTCACTGCTGGTGGCCCTTGGCAATGTCCCATCGCTCAAACTCTGACAGATGAACGCCAGCTCCTGCTCTGTGAACTTCTCCCCGATGCTGGGTTCATTCAGCAGCACTTCCAGAGCCTGGGGCTCCTATCAAACCCCATCCAATGGGACACAGCACAGTTTTCCTCCTGCATTTACGGGGACAAGGAGACACCAGAACCAGCATAGAATTCCCGGAATAAACATCCTAACTCGTGTACAGGCTCGGGAGTTGGGTTCATTGTGAGCCCTTCCAACCCAGGATATTCCATAATGGATTCATATGTSCATTTTTCCAGGATCTGCAGCACATTTGGGGAGTGCAGAGGTGGATTTCTCCTCCTGATGGGCCACAAGCCGAGGTTTCCATGAGGAAAGCGGATTCCCAGCACATCTTCCCACTGGTGCCATGGGGTTCSAGAGTTGGCCACACCCATTTCCCAAGGCCCTGCTGAGGAAAATGCCACTCTCAAAGTTCATTTGGGGTGGTGAACCACAGATATCCCACACTCCCAGTGAGAATTTGGGATGAAAGAGCCTTTGGAAAGCCTGGAATGTGGATCCACAATCCCCGAGTGAGAGGGAGCCATGGGAAGCATCACCCTTCACAGGCTGCAATGTCAGGCTCTTGTTTCCCATAAACCCCCAATATTAATAATGGAAAAAAGAGGTAAATTGCTGGGATTTCCACATCTTTGAATAATTTTCCCACTTCCTACCCCAAATCTAAAAAGGAAAGGCAAAGAATAATTACACGGACACYGAGGGTTAGGAATTATTCTTCTTTTAATTTCACATGGTTTAAAATACGATATGAAATAAGGCTACAGTATATAAAAAACTCTCCAGCAAAATGATGTGCCAGCATCAGCAATTAAAACAAAACCAATCCCCTCCTTCTCTAGGAATTCAATGGAGGAGGGATTTTWTTTTTTTTGAATCCTTTAAAAAAACCAAACGGAACCAGACACAACACACGGACACACACACACATCGCTACATCTCTAAGCTACCTCAGCTCAGGTTTTTTTAAAAAAGCACCTGCTTTTTCCTTGTTTTTTTTTTTTAATCTCACTTTTAAACTTTTTTTTCCCACTTTTAAAAAATATAAATTATATGAAAATACACGTTGGAAAATAGTCGAACAGCACAATATAACAATCTCTTTTTTTTTCACTTCTTCTAAGTTTATCAGCTTAAAAAAATGTGTAAAACCAAAATAAAACAAAAAAAAAACTTACTTTTTTTTCTTTCTTTTTTTTTTTTTTTTTTAACTGAGGCAGTGAATTCCTGGAGATATTCCATTATAACATATATGTATACATAGATTTTTCCTTTATTTAAACCTCTTTGGAATGTAGACAACAGCTCCTGGGTGTTACATAGACCCTACCAGGGAGCAGAGCACGCCAAGGCATCCCAGTTTTCCAATGTTCACGAGGAATCAGCAATTAAATCCTAAAATCTCAGAGAAAACCCCTCCAAAAAAGCAAAACTCAGRAGGTGGAGATGTTTCCTGCAACATCTGGAGTTACTGGTGCTTTCTGGGACCATTGTTTGGAGGAGGTGTTGGTTTGGGAAAAGGTGAAATTTTACATGATCCTTAATTTTTTGCCCTGTTTGGTTATTTCTCCACCTGAACGRTCCCGTCTGGATCAGGATGGTGGGAATAACATGGATCTCCACTTCCACACACTCCAGAGTCCAATGGTTAGGATGATCCCACACATGGAGATGGAGAGAGACAGGCAGCAGAAAAGTGCTTGTGGTTTTTACTGTTATTGGGGTGGTTTTCATCATTGGGGTGGTTTTTATCATTATTGGGATGGGGTTTTATCCTTAGTGGGGTGGTTTTTATAATTACTGGTGTTTTTTCCTTTATTTCTGAGATCCCAAATATCAGCTCTTGAGGTCCCCAAAGCTGTTTACAGGTAGGGCTCAGGCTGTGCCAGAAGGGCCAAGGGGACACTGGCCTACGGGGAGAACAGCAGAAAATGAGCAAGACAAAGAAAATAACCCAAAAAAATCACCCAAAGCACCTGAGACATTACAAGCCAAGACAAAATGACCCCATTTCCAACAGTAAGATTTGCCCCAGTGTGGGGGAAGGAGCCCCATCCCTGACAGATCTCGGTCATCCCTCTCAAATCCATCCTTCTGGGCCAGCAGGTGGGAATTAAGCACATTTTCAGGGTCTTGAAGGAGCTCAGAAGGTTTGGGTTGAGCAGGTGGGAATTAAGCACATTTTCAGGGTCTTGAAGGAGCTCAGAAGGTTTGGGTTGAGTGTGTCTGGCTCAGCACAGCCCTCGCCAAAGGCCACGAGAGAAGGACAGAGAAACAGAAGCAAAAGAAACAAAGARGAATCTGCACATTTCCAGTGTATAAACAGCACCCATCTCTGGGATGGCCTCTAGAATGGGAATAAAAGCAAAGGAAAATAGGGGATGATGGAGCTGGTGTTTCTGGGAGGGTTCACAGGCAGCGAGCTGGGAAGGAAAAGGGCCGGAGAAAAGATGGAGAAACTTCCCCCAGGGGCTACTTCCAAAAATTCAGGGCTGCTTCCTAAGGCTAACCCTCCCCAACCTTTAACCATCTCCCTAAAATCACTTGGAATACACAAGCTTGGCTTGGAAACCTGGAATAAGCACAGTGGGGAGGGATTCAGCCYGGCAGGGGATGGGCTGTACCCAAACCTGCAATTCCTTCTGTTGGAGGGAAGGTTTATCCCATTCTGTTTCATTTTCAGAGGCAGTGGAGCATCCGAGCAGAGCAGGAGGGGTGTCCTGGGACATGGCCCGTGCCAGGGGCAGGAGTTGGGATGGCTGGGAGTCCTTTCCAARGGTGGAAGGGGAATTGAGTGACCCATGGTAGCCCTTCGCAGGACCCCTGAACATCCCCCAAAGCTCTGGGACTGCTGGAAATCCAACCCTTCCTGCTGGGATGTCCTTTTGCAGCTCCTCCCCCATGCCCTCAGTGCCCTCCCACCTCTCTCAAGTCCCAGCCCAGCTGGATCTGCCCATGCCACCCATGAGATCCCAATTTTCCTTTCCTCCCTCCAGCTGGGCCAGGCTGCCTCCATCCTCCTCCTCCTCCTCCTGTCTGCCCAAGGAGATGAGCCCGAGTTTCACTTCTCAGTGGGCAGCATCCCTTTCCTCCTTTGGGGCTCCCTTCACCTTCCCTTCACCCTCTCTTCCCTCCTTTCCCTCCATCCCATTCTTTTCCTCAGACAATCCTCAGCCCCACTGAGCATCAACCACCTCCTTTCCTGGACCCCCCTAGTGGGAGCTCCCTCCTGGCCTTCCCATCCCTGCTCCAGCACCATTTTTATAAGAACACAGCAATTCTGGGGCTGGCTGTCCCTCAAATGACCAGTTTCAGGATACAGAGGTGATGGGTCCTCCCAGTTCCGGAGGGAGAGTCCAGCACCTCTGGGCATCCCTTTGGGAATGGGGATTGGGATTGGGATCCCCTCCAGCTCTRCCCCCGTGCAAGGGTGGGGTTGTGCCTGAATATTCCTGCTGTCAGGCAGATCCCTGTCCTGCTGGCCTGATCCATTGGGATCTGGCAGGAACCACCTCTGGAAAGGCTCTACCCCCCTGAACCCCAGTGCTGTCCCACAGTGCCTCTGGAATGAACTCTGYGCCCTAAAGACAGACAAAGGGCACACAGAGGAGTGATTCTCGTGAAGTACAAAACCCTGCCTTTGAATGTCAACGCCCGGGGGGAGAGTGTCCCTGGGGCAGCCAAATCCACCGGGATCTGGCTTTGGGATTGTATCTGGATATGGGAACACAGCCCTGACCCTCCAATTCCCACCAAGGGCACCCTGAGCACAGTGGGACATCACCCTCACCCTGTCCAGAGCATCCCGGGAAGCGCTGAGGGCAGCAGGAGTGACCCCTCCCGAGTGAAAAAACAGCTGCAGGAAAGGTTGGGAGAGCAGAGGGAGCAGCTCCCCCGGACTGGTCCCACAGCCATCCCCACCCCGGTGACACCGCGTGCTTCGTGTCACTCACACCCAACAGCATTGGTGGGAGCAGCTCCCCAGAGCCATAAAGAACCCATTTGCAGGGACAATTTCCTTTCTGCTGTGCCCACACAYGGCCATAAAGACAGAGTGGCTCAAAACAGGAAGGAAAAAACATTTCCCTTTGGTTTTTGGACTTTTTCCTGATTTTTCCCAATTAACTCGCATATTTTCCATTTACCACGTTGAAAACACAGGAATATCTCTCCCTTTCCCCTCCCCCAAAAAAAAATTTCTGTAAGCACCAAAGTGTTCCTTGAGCAAAAGAGGCGATTTGGAAAACACAAAAAGACATCCTCCATGGAAATTTTGAGAGGTTTTGTGCAGCCAGACATAAAAAAAAGCACAGGAATTTCAACCAGCATTATCAGCACAGCRTGTGTGGCTGGAAATGAGAGGGGAACCCCCAGGCAGCACCACCAGGAGCCACTTCGGAGTTCATTTTCCTTCCCATCCCAGTCCCAGCTTTCCAATTCTCCAGTGGGATCTATATAAACTAATTCCTCTTTTTCCTCCCTGGGATAAAACTCTCTGCTGGCAGAACAGAAACAAACACACACAATATTGCAATAATGAGACCATCTTAGAGCTTAAGACTATTTAAAAAAAAATACTGGCACAAAATTTAATAAAATAAAACTTTAAAAAAAAATTTTAAAAAGTCTTGATCCCTCCTAGGAAAAAGATCTGTCTTGTAGAAAAGAATGGACAGGAAGGTGATGGAACCAGAACAACAGTTCTTGGTTTTCCTATATTGTCCCTCCCCAAAGCAGGAATATTCACCCATTTTGGTTTTCCAAAAAAAAAAAAAAAGTTTAAATTCCTCCAATCCTCGGGAATGTTGTCATTCCTGACCTGTCAATTTGTGTGTGAACAACCAAAGGGATCCATTCAATTGCATTTTGTTCTAAACAGCCAAGGCTGGGGAGGGAGTTGTTGGTTTTTTTAAGTGAGCTACATTTTTCTGGCTTTCTTAAAACTCAGAATTTCCCCCCAGAAAAGCCTGTCTCGGAGCTTTCAGGAAATCAACAAAAAGCCCATCCTTGCCAAAAGTTTGCCTCTTCCTCCCCCCTCTCCCCYGACATCCTCAAAGCTTCGAATCTGAGTGGCCCTCGAAAAGAAAAAAAACGAGCAAAAAGAACAGCGAAATTCAATAAAAAAGAACCACCAAACGAGTCCCCTCGGCTCGGCCCCAGGACAGCGGCGTCCCCGTGTCCCTGTCACTCGTCAGCGTCGGGTTTGACGTCGAGCATGGCGTGCAGCTCCTCGGGGGTGTAGCCCAGCAGGCTCTGCAGGTCGCACACGAAGCGGTAGACGTAGCGCTTCCCCGCCGTCTTGTGGATGATGTTCTTGTCGTAGTAATAGCGCAGCCCGCGGCTCAGCTTCTCGTAGTTCATCTTGGGCTTGTTTTTCCTCTTGCCCCATCGCCGGGCCACCTGCAGGGAGCGGGGAGAGGCAGCCCGGGGTGAGAAGTGCAGGGAGAGGGAGGAGAACTCAACCTGGCTCGGTTGGGATATCTGTGCAGATGATTCTCCTCGTCATTAAGATRGACATGAGAATCAGTGCTTGGGAAAACCAACCTCTGTGCAATGGCAGAGCATGGCAGAGCATTCCATGAGGATTTAGTTGGATAATTTAGTGTTGTGTTCTCCCTGATCACAGAATCACAGACTCARTCAGGTTGGAGAGGACCTTGGAGATCATCAAGTCCAACCTCTGACCTACCACCACCTCATCAACTAAACCATGGCACAAGTCATCAACTAAGCCATGGCACAAGTGCCATGTTTAACTCCTAAGAATATGCACAATTCCAAACATTTTTATTACTGCTAGACTTGATGGTATCATTTTCAGCTTTTTTTCTTTGGTTCTGTGTGTTCTATTCAGTCTTTTCTTCAATAGTGATGACTGATGAATGGTGATGGTGACTCCACCACTTCCCTGGGAGCCCGTTCTAATGCCCCATCACCCTTTCTGTGAAGAACTTCTTCCTGATGTCCAGCCTAAACCTCCCCTGTGCAGCTCAGGGCTGTGTCCTCTYGTCCTGTCAGTGGTTCCCTGGGAGYAGAGCCCAACCCACCCTGGCTGTCCCCTCCTGTCAGGGAGTTGTGGAGTGATGAAGTCTCCCATGAGCCTTCTCTTCTCCRGGATAAACAACCCCAGACCCTCAGCTGCCCCTCASAGGACTCATGCTCCAGACTCTTCCCCAGCCTCGCTGCCCTTCSCTGGACACATTCCAGCAGYTCARTGTCCTTTCTRAATTGCAGGGCCCAGAACTGGACACAGGACTCGARGTGTGATCAACAGGGACATCCTCAAACCCATCCTCACATCCACGCTCCTTTCCCAAGGCTCCTCYTCCACCTTCTGCCCGTTCCAAACCACAGGACACCAACAAGCAAAGGCCCAGTGCCAGTCACTCTTGCAGGACATGGCACTCTCCAGGTCCAACACCACTCACTCATGGAATTATTTAGGTAAATATATTAAGAATTATATTATATTAATAATTACATTTAGGAATTAGAGGAATTTAGGAATTATATTAGGAAAAGCCCTCTAAGATCATGGAGGGCTCATGACCACTCCCCAGTACCTGTGTCCCCAAGTACCACGCCCACATGGCTTTGAAATCCCTCCAGGGGTGGGKACCACCTGGGCACTGCCCTGGGCAGCTGGGCCAGGCCTGGAGAGCCCTTTCCRTGACATTTTCCCTCATATCCAACCTAAAGCTCCCCTGGCACAGCTTGAGGCCATCTCYTCTTGTGYTGTCACTTGTACCYGGCAGAASGGACTGACCCCCACCTGGCTCAGTCAGGGAAGGGAACAAATATCCCAGCTGTTCCCCAAAACAGGGCAAAGCCACCCCTCAGCTCTACCCAGCCTGTCTGAAGAGCCTTGCCACTGCTCCTCTCCCCACAARGGTTCAGCTTCTTCCCACCAAATTTGGGCACAAATCCCTGCTTCCAAGGGGTGACTGCAGCCCAATTTTTAACAAATTTTCAGTTGGACTCTGGTTCCTTGGTTCTCCCCACACACGCAAGACCAGAACAAAGTGCTGCCCAAATCTCAGCCCCAAAGAGAGGAGAGGTTTATCCACACCAGTATTGCTGAAGAATTTGGGTTGTGCACTTCATTCCAGGGCACTTTACCTCGTCTGGGTCGGAGAGTTTGAATTCCCAGCCATCACCCGTCCAGCTGATGAARGATTGACAGGACTTGTCAGTGAGCAGTTCCAGCAGGAATTGCCACAGTTGGATGGGTCCACTGCCTGAAAAGACAAAGGAGACAAGGAACATTAATGCCAGGAAAAGCACAGCTCCTTCTATCCCACAGGGGGAAAAATTCCCATGCAAAAGGTGCTYGCTGAATAAAATAAAACCTTCTCCTGTCAAAATGAGCCACCAGCAGCCACAGGGCAGGAGCTGAGCTGGGAGTTAAACCCTACAGGTAACAGAGCTTCCTATTTGCAGGAAGAGCTGAATATTCATGCCCTGGAATGCTTCACTTGGAGTTACATAAACAGGATTATTTTTCTGGCACACAAACAGGAGGAGTCAGTGCCTTGGCACTGGAGCAGCACCAACCCCTCGGTGCCAAAGAGCCGCCGGGCACGGCTGAACTCCGGCAGCCTCCGCTTCCCGACCTTGACTCTTTGCTCTGTGCTGCTGATGGAGATAAGGGAGACCCAGGTATGAGAATTCCTTGGCTCCTTTCCAGGGCGTGTTGCTGCAGGAATGGGCTCTGCTGGCTCGTGGGGAGGGCGGGGGCACACAGAGCTCCCCGGCCCAGGATCTCCTCATCACCAGCTTGGCACAGCCTCAGCAAATCTGTGAGGAACCTCCCTGCGGCTGCAGGTCCCCTGATCCGGCTGCAAAGGCACAGGGTGACGTGGAGCATCCCATGCMATGGGCATTCCGACCCTCCTTCCACCCCAGAGTCTCCAACTCCCCTCCAGTCACGAATTTTGGCCAYCAGGAATTCATCTCAATGCACCCAGCAAGAGCCTGCGGCTGGTTTTGGCCGGAGTCACRGAGAAGTTTTGAAATATTTATCTCTTCCTTGGGCTTGTGGCCCAATCCAAGGTAGAGGAGAAGCCCTGGAGCCAAAATCTCTTTGATGAGCAACATCCAAAGGCGGCCACGCCCCAAATATTGTGCTTAGCTGTGGGCAAGGTGTTTTGGGAGAGACCCGGCTTGGAATAGATCACCAATCATGGCAATAATTATAAACGCTAGCGGGAGAGGAAATGATTTATTCCACAAAGAATTGCACGGGCTGGATTAGGCTGGGGTAATCTCAGTGCTGACAGCACAGAACAAAGCTTCAAGCCGGGAAAAAATGAGCTGTGGACTCAGAAAGAGGGACAGAGCCCAGGCTGCTTCCAGGAATGACCAYGGATGCTGTCCGAGCTGCGGGATAACCCATGGAGGGAAGGGAGGGCTGCTCCCCTTCTCCACAAAGCTCAAAATTACTCAAAAGCTGCTGGGGAGCAGGAAATGAGAGAGCTGGCTCCATTCCTGTGCCCATCCAGCCCTTCTCAAAYGTTTCCCTCCCGTTGTCCCAGTGGAACCTCTCCAGGGGTTTGTCAGTGCTGAGCCTGGGGTTATCACAGCCACAGGCAGGACAAGGCAGGGAGTTCCAGTGCTGGAGAGGGGACAGGACTCAGCGGGGAAAGGCTCCAGCCCAGAGCTGCTCTGGAGTTTGCCAGGACATCGGCTCCACAGCCGCACTCTCCGCTAGGGATGGGGTTGGGTTAACCACGCCAAAACGGGGGAGGAAACTCAGATGATGCCTTCGCTTCTCATTGACAGGGAAGAGCCAAAAGCCCAGCCTGAAATGCCAGCCCATCTCCAGGCTCAGGCCTATTTATAGCAGAGAGCTTGAAATGCAGGGGAAACACTRGGGAAAAGGTTTGGCGGCTGCCTGAGGCCTTCCACAGGTGAATTCCCAAGGGGATGAGTTCTCTTGGCCCACCTGACCTTAAACCAGCTCCCCACACACACCAGGGAGCATCCAACACCCAGATCAGGTTAACAGAGACTCAGCCCAAGGAGCCCAAGGCCAGGTCCATCCCCTCCCATCAATTTCTCTCCTGCCCAACCAAACAACAAGGATTTTTAGTTGATTCCTTCCCCATAATAAKGTGGATGGAAATTCATGACCTAGGTGCAAGGTTCTTGAGTGAGRAGCTGCCCTCAAAACACATCTGGGCCGTCCTGCAGGACCTTTGGAGGTTCCAATATCACTGAGCCAGAGCCTCAGGGCCGTTCCTGTTTGGTTACCAGCTGGCAGGGAGAGATGTCRGGAAAGCCAGGAATTCTTGCCCTCTCTCCAGCAAGCAAGGTAGGGCTCCTGCCACCGCCCCCAGCRCTGCTCTGCTGAGTATTTTGGGATTTCCAAGGAAGTGGTGTCATCCTTAGAACAGGGATTCCCAAAGTCTATTCCGAGCTGCCTGTGGGACATGCGTAAAGCCCCAAATTCCTCTGGAAGGACAGGCAATTATGTGAGGAATGTGTTTATGCAGGGCTGCAGGCATGTCCCAGCTCCTGTGAGCACCCCCTCCCTGCCCCAGGGGGAGGCAGCCGAGCCTGGCAGATGTGGCACCGCTCGAGATGGCAGCGAGTGGCAGGAGCCAAACCCTGGCACATGCCCGGACCTGTGCCCAGATCAGTGCAGGCAGGGAGGGGAGCGGAGCRGGGAAGCGCTGCTGGAGGCCAGGGCATCATTGTCTGCTGTGGCTGCAATTAGTGCTGGGAGGGCCATCTTCACTAATGAGTCCCTCTGCAGCCAGCAGGAGCAGGGAATGCATTCCTGTAGGATTTCAAGGTGACTCCTGGCYCACGCAGCAATGCCACCCCCTCGATGTCACAGGGCAAGCAGGCTTRTCCCTGCATCCCAAACYTCTGCAGGAGCTGGSAGCAGCACCCATTTTCCATCCCCTCTGCTCCAACCCTTCCCTCTCACCCCAGGCAGGGCTGTAAATCCCCACTGGGATGCCAGGCTGGCATCACTGCATGGCACAGGCTCACACAGCCACACTGTCCCATGGCCAGGAGGTGTGTACCAGTGTGGGACTTTGGTCATCCCAAAACAACCACCTGTCCCCCAGCCTGGGCTGGGATGCAGCTCCAAGCACGAGGAGGAGGGGCACAAGGCAGCTCTGATGGCCTTCCCAGAGCAATGGCAGCCCTGGCAGGGATTGGGGACAGCCCCTGCTCCAGCAGAGACAAGGGGAGGGCTCAGAGGGGCGGGGGTGTCCTCCTGCCCCGCCGCGACCCCGGCACCCCCGGGTCTGCTAAAAATAGCGCCCACAATGGGGGCCCTGTGTGGCCTGGGTGGCATTGAACAGGGCCCTTCAGCAGGGACTGTCACACCACAGGAATTCCACAGCGTCAGGGGGAAAATATTCCTCTGGAGCCGGATGGCAGCTGGCTGCTCCAGGGGGAGCAGGGAGCTGATGCTGAGCGGGGCTGTCTCAGCACCACCCCATGATGGTGACCCCAGAGCTAAGGAGTCAGTGCCACACCACCCCTGTGCCACCCTTCCTCGGTCAGGAATGGCCTCCCATCCCCTTCCCAACCAAACCCTGCTGGATGGAGCGATGGTGGCACGGCACAGGGAGGGCACAGCCCCAAGCCGTCACCTCTCTCAGGACGGTTTGACACATCCACCCCTCCCAACGGCCTCTGCTTTGTTTCCCTTCYTTCAAACACGACAAGAAGACAAAAAACCACCCCCTCCCAACCCCCACCTTCGCCGGGCGCTCTGCGGTTTGTGGTTCCAACCCCACACAACAATCGGCCCTGGCAACGGCTCCAAAACAGCCCCTGCCCTGCTCACCTGCGCCCTGTCTGCCCCCTCCCATGGCACCGCGCTCCCCAAATCCCCCAAAGTGCTGGCACTGCTGGTCCCCATCGCTCCCTTGCCAGAGCAGCTCCTCCCCAGCCCCTGGCCAGGCTGCTGCAGGAGTCAGACACTGCAAAGCGGTGGAGCTTGGGTGGGGGCATCAGAAATCAGGGGCGAGGAAAGCAGGAAAAGGGACAGGTAACCCCTTCCTTAGGGAGAAACACAGCCTGGGAAAAAAGGAGGCTCAGGGGAGACCTCATCACTGTCTACAGCTGCCTGAAAGGAGAGTGTAGCCAGGTGGGGGTTGGATCTTTCTCCCAGGTTACCACTGACAGAACGAGAGGACACAGCCTTGAGCTGTACCAGGGGAAGTTTAGATATCAGGAAAAAAATCTTCACTGAAGGAGTGACTGATCAGTGGAATGGTCTGCCCAGGGAGGTGGTGGAGTCACAGTCCCTGGATGTGTTTAAAAAGAGTCTGGACATGGCACTTGCTGCTGTGGTTTGGTTGATGAGGAAGTGTTGGGTCATGGGCTGGACTTGATGATCCAAAGGTCTTTTCCACCCTGGTTCATTCTGTGATTTTGTGATTCTGTGCTCACAGCAGGAGAGCAGCGAGGGGACCATTCCAGGCCAGAGCTGCTCRCCTGCTGCTCCTCTGCTCTGAGGAAGGAGTTGTTGGCAAGACTGCTCTCACAGAATGTCCCGAGTGGGAAGGACCCACCAGGATCCTCCAGTCCAGCTCCTGGCCCTGCACAGGACARCCCCAAGGRTCCCACCCTGTGCCTGAGAGCATTGTCCAAATTTCCCTGAACTCAGAGTCTGACTCCAGAGGCACCTGGCCAAGCTGCAGGGATTTTGTGAGCTCCAGATCCCCCAGAATGTGGTCCTGCAGGCCACGAGCTGCTGGGCAGCACCAGCTGGGTGTCTGGAGRAGCCCCAGGCTGCCCCCACATCACCTCCCCCAGGCTGGAGGAGCCCTGGGGAGCGCTGAGCTCTGCCACGGTTGGGCAGCGGCGTGTGGGGCTGGGTTTGCTCTCGTTTGCACGTCTGGCAGGTGGGGCAGGAGCCACTGAACCGCTGCCACCCTTGAGTCCCCACCCTGGGGAGGCCATGAGGGCACTGAGCCTGAGGCAAAAATGGGCAGGAGCTGCTGGGTGGGAACCCTGAGGTCA